AATAACCAATGAATATGTTCCCGGTGATTTTAAGAAATGCAGCTGAGATGTTTCGGGTTTGGACTGTTGAATATAACTCCTAGCGTGTCTAACATTTTCCACCTCAAATAATTCATGATAAACACTGGACTGATAAGAAATAGTCAGTGTAGTTTTCCAGATTTCCGTTCCGATTGACAGTTAAGAACCTTCCTTCAGATCAGTAGCAGGTCATTTAGTGTTATTCAGTCAACATTTTGTAAATAAAGGGAATTAGGAGTCATCTGTTTCGGTACTTAATCTTTACCCAGTGAGTCACGAGTTCGAAGCCCAATCCTTCTGCCTGGATCCTGGCAGCCAGGTAGCATAACTAACCTTCGGAAAAAACGTGTCACTTATTGCCTTCTGCAACAACGCTCAAGCACCTTTTAATTCACAAGTTTACATTAGGATAAGGTATTTTTCAATTACAGTAATAACCAAAATTTGTTGGCTTGGCTCATTTCAAACAGGGTAAATAGGTTACCTAACATTATTAGTAATGCGAAAAGGAAGAAGAAAACAGGAAGGCGAAGGAAAAGACAGAAAAAAATAAGAATACTGAGGACATTTAAAGTGATACATACAAGAAAAAGTAGCCCCAGTTAAACTTGTATAGCCTCTAGATTAATTTTGAACAATCAAAAAAGTGGCATTTTTCTTAGAATCCCAAAAATGAATAATCTATCAAGGATTCGACGATACATAAATTGTAAGAACAAATACAGAATATATCTGTTTCCTGTGCGAACTTATTGAAACTAGCAAAGTTAACATCTGTCCTCCAACATAGTGTATAAAGGAAGTCCTTCTGCGTGTTACTTTCAACATGCATTTTCAACTTAACAGTGAGTTCTAAAGATAAACTTATGCGGTAGCATTGAAGTGAACTCTTTATCCTTCACTGAAAATTTACGTACTGCCATATTACATCCGATGGTTTAAGAGTTTCATCCACATAATAATAATAATATACTCATCATCTGCAATGAAAACATGGATCGAGGGATCATGCTCCAAAAGTCTAATGGTTCATACTAGTCAATCAAGTTTACACTCGATTCCTAGGTGAACTACAAGTTTCCCATCTGGATATCCTGATGAGGATATGATATCGTGACATGTTCTAAAGTTCTCGAAATTCCCCTGAGTCTGAGCAGAAAACTTGATTGATGGCGATCTAGCAAGACTTTAACAAACACCCTGAAAATGGTGACCTCTCTAAAATTCGCCAATAAAAGCTTGAAGTCAGAACAACATACGGAACAAATTCTTACAGTTCATAAGAATATCTTTTTCATCAGTGTTGGCTTTTAGAATGATATAGTGGCAGAAATCCTGGATACCCAACTACCTAAATCTGTAAGAAAAACTTTTTTCTTCCAAGTTTCCAGTTGTCTTCAGTTGTCAATAAATGATACGTGGATGGATCCACAACAAGTTTCCACTTTGGACTAATTCGGTAATTATATACAGATTTATTTACTCCTTTGGAGTTAGTTATGTAGGCAATAAAAAACATGCTGTTGTCGGATGAATTTCAGAGCATTATCTTTTTTATGAGGAGAAAGCAAGTGGTTAGTTCCACTCACGGAGCTCAAGCATACTCATAGGATTATCTTCTTGATGGTCCACTTATTAGGGACCATTTTTCAACCGCCACTTTGATTATGATTCCTTTTTATCCCTTCACCTTCTTTCCTCTTATCATCATACTTTGCATTTGGAAACATTTTACTTCTTGTCGAGTTGTTTTACCTTAATACCTTCGCAAACGTATTCGCATAAACACTCATGTTTTGAAACAATATCGAGGCATCCGCATAGAAGCCCATATGCCAACAGAGGTCGAACAATTCGACCCAATATAACAACGGAGAATTACAAGTATATCAGTAAATGGTAACTCATGCTTTCGTTCTGATCTTTAGTTTTACGTTATTAATCCGATCCAAACCTCGCCTGGTTAACTAGTTTACTAGTTACTAGCCGGTCCTAAGCCCGCGTAAAGAGGGAAGGTTGGGCATAGGGCTAGCAACCCTACCCCGTAAAACAAATCTAACCGCTAAAGAAACTTCAAAGCACAAACAAAATATAAAAAATGAAAACAAACTTATTCCCCGCTGGAATCGGAGAGGCGAAATGACGCCAGTTGGTGAAAGCCTTCGGGAAGCCAATTGGCCGATGTGTCTTCTCTCGATGAAAGCGAAAGTAAACGTGGGGACATGGAATGTCCGCACGATGTTTGAACCCAGTAAGGCAGCCCAGATTGCAAGGAGATGAGAAGGTATAACATCGAAGTGCTTGGGATTTGCGAAAGCAGATGGAATGGGAGTGGACTCTCCAAACTGTCAACTGGAGAATCAATAATCTACTCCGGTCACCCAGACGCCAACCACGAGCACACTGAGGGAGTGGCTATCATGATGTCCTCAAGAGCATCGAAGGCTCTCATGCAGTGGGAACCAATCTCCTCCAGGATCATGACAGCAAGATTCAACTCAAAAGGAAGAAAGGTCACAATCATACAATGTTATGCACCTACAAATAATGCAGAGCAAGAGAAAAAGGAGGAATTCTACAGACAACTTCAATCAACACTGGACAAGACGTCAGTTGGCGATATCAAAATTCTGATGGGCGACATGAATGCCAAACTGGGAGGGGACAACACGGGAAGAGAACTAACCATGGGTCGAGAGGCGCTAGGTGAAATGAATGAGAATGGAGAATTGTTTGCAGAATTCTGCGCATTCAACGATTTGGTGATTGGAGGCAGTGTGTTCAGGCACAAAGATATCCACAAAGCGACATGGATTTCACCAGATGGACACACTAAAAATCAAATCGACTTTATCTCAATCTCAAGAAAATGGAGACGCAGTCTACTTAACACAAGGTCAAGAAGAGGAGCAGATGTAGGTTCAGACCACTACCTAGTGCAAGGAACCTTCCAAATCAAGTTAAAAGCCTTCAAGGAAGCTGGTGATAGACCTCAACCCAAGTACAACACTCGGAAACTGAAGGATGAAACTACAAAGGAGATCTTCAAGGCAGCCATCAAGACAAAATGGGAGACATCGAGGGACATCCCTGAAGAAACCTGTGTGGAAGAACACTGGAAGTCTTTGAAAGCTATGTGGAAAGAAACCTGCACAACAGTATTAGGAAGGAAGAAGAAAGAAGACAAGGAATGGATCTCGACGGATACCTGGAAGCTGATAGAGGAGAGGAGGATGGTGAAGCAGAAGATAAACCAGTGCAAGGATGCTCAACGACAAGAGGAACTGAGCACAATGTATAAAACACTGGACAAAGAAGTGAAGAAGAGTGCACGCAAAGACAAAAGACACTTCTACGACACACTGGCAAGTGAAGCAGAACAGGCTGCAGGTAAGAGAGACCTGACGACATTGTATCAAATAACCAGGTTGCTATCAGGGAAGAGACCAACACAGATGAAACCAATAAAAGATGAAGAAGGAAATTTAATTACAAAAGAAGAGAAACAGAGGAAACGATGGGCCGACCACTTCAAGAAGCTCTTGAATCGACCACCACCTGCACTTCGTCCAGAAATACCACCTGCAGCCGCTGAATTACAAGTGAACATTAATCCCCCAACGAAAATGGAAGTCCTGAACGCCATAAAGCTACTGAAATGTGGGAAAGCAGCAGGACCAGATGGAATACCGCCAGAAGCACTGAGAACAGATGCAGAGACAACAGCGGACATGCTCACACCACTATTGCAGAAGGTGTGGAAGGAAGAGAAGGTACCTGACGATTGGAAGAAGGGTTACCTTGTCAAACTGCCGAAGAAGGGAGACCTCAGTGCTTGCAAGAACTGGCGCGGAATCACTCTCCTGTCCACCCCAAGTAAAATATTAAGCCGCATCATCCTGGAGAGGCTTAAAGAGCACTGGATTCAAAACTAGACCGGAACAGGCAGGCTTCAGGAAGTACAAATCATGTGCAGACCAAATTGCACAGTTTGTCAGCCATTGTAAAAAAAACAACTGAACCCAAAGCCTACAGTTTCCTCGGTCCCGAAGAAAAGCATATTTCTTAAAGTACCATATAGAGGGGAAACAAGCAGTATGATATTGAAGCAGAGATTAAAATCTGTTATCAGTAAAACATACTATGAAGCTCAGCTTATCATTGTTGAGACAACAAAACACCTGCTTCACCACAAACCTCAATCTCGCATAAATGATTACATCACATCCTACTGCGTTTACCAATTTACATGTATGTGTGGGCACACATACATAGGGAGGAGTAATCGTTCAATGCAGACTAGGGTGGGTGAACACATCCCCAAATGGCTAGAAAAACAGTTTAACACACAAACTTTGATAAGTGCAGGTGACAGACATCCATCGTCATCTATAGCAAAACATATTATTGAAATGAATCACAGGGTTAATACGAAAACAGCGTTTAAGATAATATACAGGAATAATCAGGGGCGCATACTGAAGTTTGCCGAAGCGTTAGCCATTCGTAAACTTAATCCCCCGCTGTGTGTACAAAAACAATTTGTTGTTTCACTTAATTTACCTTGGTAATCCTTATCTGATTATATTACCAAGACTAGTGTCACAACCTTTTCATATTCACTATATTTGACCTTTAATTTTCATATATAAATTGACTTGACAAGTAAATGTGTGATCAGATTGTTCGAAATGTATTGCGCAAATACATCACATTTTTCAGATAATCTTCGTCTTCTAATAGCGTTATCGAAATCTTAAAACCAATTCAAATGTCTTCAAATAGATGATGACGATAGAATTAGGTGAAGTCCAACTGCGAACTTTCACTGTGGTTTCCGTTGGAAACCAGAATGTACAGAAAATAAAATGTGATTTGATCAATATTATAAGTGGTGTCGAGATTGTGAACATGAGAATTGTATAAGACATAACTAATGATTGATTTAACTAGTCGATCACTCATTCAGAAGAGTGTTCTCTAGCTAGATGGAAATTATCTAGACGTTGGAGGACAGTTCACCTCATTCGCCGTATTCTAACTGACTCCACTCGGATAATCAAGTCATCTAAAACACTGAAACAACCTTTAGATCAGTTCAACCATCAGGTTCCTCACAGGAAATTAGCTTTAGACAAACCGTCGAAGCATGTAAAATAGTAGCATATGAGACAATAAAACAAATAAGGGATATAAAAAGCTCATTCCAAAATTGTTTGATGACAAAGCTTTTGAGCGAATATAGACTTACACATTCCCATGGAACCTCAGGACCCTAAAAATGAAGTAAAAATCACAAAGCAAACATCAATAAGAACATTATGAAGCAACAGAGTGTATTTAAATATGATTTGATGCAACTTTTAGTTGAGTAGACTAGCAATACAGTTCTTAGTCAATGGATTGAGTTCAAAGTACTCTAATGTAGTGAATCAAGTAATAGCATCGGTGATCAAGCATCAGTCTGTGCTCAAATGGATGCGGGAAAACTACAGATACACCTCAATAGTGAATGCTAAGGCTGATTTCAACAAGGAACTGGTTGGATAGTTATCACAACAAGACGTCACTAGTTCTAATCCCATATCCTATCTGATGTAAAAAAAATAGCGTTAAAAACTGTAACTAACCCTCAAAAAAGCTAGAAAGAGTCAATGGATCTCAGCAGCTTTTCCTGCACTGATGGGTACTCATCAAAGCACTCATCCAGGCTCTGGATACGATGCGGAGTGGAAGCAAATCACGTCCAGACTGGCAAGAAGTCTACACAACGTGTGCGAGCAGTGGTGAGTAGTGAAAGCCAAAGACATGGAATAGGTAACAGTGATTGGTAACAGTCGACAGTTCTTCAGACTTATCAAGGAAACCTGGATAAAATTGTCAGTGGTCAGTGAGACGACAGAAAATTATGGATCTGCAAGCCACTTTCAGGGGAGATTATTGCAACGATAAGCGAAACACTTCGAGAAACAGTTAAACTGGCCTCCAACTATTGTTATGCTTCCTGACTGGAGCACTGAGATATGCTTCCATACCCGCACAATTTGAGGTTTGAAACAAGCGGAAGTGAAGGAGAGTAGATGAGCCAGTACTGGATGTGTACAAGAACCGTTGTCGAGGATTAGTCAGGTCAAATGAAGTGCTAGCTAACCTATGGAAATCAGATACGATCCCCTCTGACTAGTCTCAATCACTGATTGTCCCAGACAGCTTTCAGACCTGGCCGTGCGTATATCGACTGGATATTCACCCTCCACCAGGTTCTGGAACACGGGCCCAAGTATCCGCACTAGACTCCATTGATTGAAAGGTATGGTGGCACTGTCTATCAGTGAAAAGGCTGCCGGATAAGGGCAACACCCTGTAGAAAGTTATGCATTTGAGCCTACAGTGAAGTGTCAGGTGAAATGTATACATCGAGTGGTGTTTATCAAGGACGTATGCTCTCTCCATTGACAGTAAATTTAGTCGTGCGTACTAATGGATATTTGCCTCTCCTTATCTGACCTTACCACGATTGACCTTGTTGCAAGACTAAACAGATCTAGAGTAAACATGGCATAGCACTGCTGGGTGAAGTTGAAAAGATAGCCTTCTGGACAGTGAGTGGCATGTTAGTTGATTGAAGGCAATCTGCAGGAAACCTTAGTCCTAGGTTGCACGCTTGTTGGTATTCATCAAGAAAGGCGTATCTGTAACCACAAGAGAATTGATATCTCCTCAGAGATTCAGACCTGCCTCACTGAGTACTGAAGTCAGCGACGCTGCAACCGGGCTATTCTGGCTGGTGCTGCAGTCAGAGACATTACCAGCTCAATGGATTTTAGACGACTGAATTGAGAAGATTAAACTTTAAACTGGTGAAAATGCCCAACACGAATTTGAATAAAACGGATTAATCCAATTATATAAAAATTTTGGTATCTAAATACTCGTTTTTATATGGGTTACCTAAAACATATGAATCTGACCATCCAACAAGTGTCACATTGTATGTGTTGTTCACACATATATAACCTGACAAAACTCTTGAATATTATCAGAATTTGTTTATTGAAGTCCCCAACGGAAGATGTATTTGGTCTAATTGACTGCTCAAGTGATATTAATATCAAGGATAAGACTATGTACTCTTGCGGTGTATATTCTTTATTTACTAATGTACCACTAGCAAACATGACATTAAATGTCTGTTTCTTCGGATAGTTTTACTATATTCCTCTTACTCTTTTGAAAAATTTATCATGATGATTATAATTAGTCTGCACTGACAAAGTTCAGTTCACATTTCAGGGTGAATATATTTAAGAAATTGGTGATGCGACCTCCGCTAGTCAATATGTGGACAACATACTTTGAAAACTTGGCTAGTGACCTTATTAGGAGTGTTTAACTTCTTTAAAAATATGTCAATGACATAGTTTTTATATGTGGCAAGCCTGATGATGAGACGCACTTGCTGGAGATGACGATTCAAAATTACATTAGTCTTACTTGCGAACAAGAGATGAGCAACCAGATACCAAGCTTAGTCATTTGCCCAGATGAAGATAGGATGACTTGACCAGAGGGTAAATCTACAGAGAGCCTACCTGCATAGAGTAATACATTAGCTTCCAGTTCAATACAAACATGGTTTAATTAAATATTCATTTAACAGGATGGATTGCACTTGTACAGATGAAATAAAGGAAGATGAAACCAAGCTGTTGGCGATGCAAGATGTAAGATGGGTACCCGTTAAAACTTATCAACAGGTGCAAACGTTGTGTGAAATTTTGACCCACTACATGTCCAGTCCCCAAGAAAAATGCCTATATCGCAATGCTATTTCTTGAAAGTGCCTGTGGTTAATTGACTCATCCGAGAGGACTGGACAAACACAGAATTCCATCACAGGGTTACCATAGGCTCATCTCTTTCTACTCTCAAACGTTAAATCTGAGAGAGGGAAAGAGATTCTAATAAAAGTTCCAAAAAAATTACTCATTGTACTTCCTATAGGTATGAAAATGAGACGTAACTGAACTTATAGACTGTCGGGAACGGTACGGGTAAATTTTATACATATCAAGCGACAAAAGTATGATACCTAACCTTTTGATTCCCACTGAGACGAAGACGTTCCTCAGCTTCAAATCTAGCAGCAAGTACAGCTTCGGAAAGACGGTAAGCTTTAAGACCGATTTGACCTCTACTAGTCCTTGTCGGATCATAGGTAAGCAGCACAGACTCAGATAGGTTGATTTGTCGCTGATATATATTATCGATATTTGCACGGTTCACAGAAACACCTCCAGGACCGGCTTGGTAAAATCCAACGTTCAAATAATCCGTGTTCAGCTACCGGAGTATCAATAAGATTTGCACTACCTACCTGTCTCAAATTACGGATCATGTTAGCTTCATAATTAATAAGGGCCTCATTAGCATTTGGGTCATCATCTTGAGTCTTCGGTAACGGAAAACAATTCGTAACTTCAAGTTGACTGCCTTGTGCAAGTCCCAAAAGCACACCATTGACAAAGTTTTGACTCGATACGGACTCTTCTTCATAATGTTTGATCATTTTTAGGAAAACAGTCCCTTCGACTCGAACTCTATTGATGCGTTTAGAAATCGTGGAAAGAAAATCCATGTTGCAACGTCACGGCAAATGAACCGCTTATACTTATCCTGAATACGTACTACTAACAATGTCCAATATCTTTTTCCAAGCCAGTGTGAACCAGTTGGTTTCTTCGCACTCGCTTTTAAGTCTTGTGGAGCAGTTTCAAATCCTTAGTCGATTCCGATGCAGCAAGTCCACTTATTCACCTTCTATAGCTCTGATTAGTCTGATGGGTGGTTTGGCATTGACTAGGTTTGTAGGGGTTGCATGACTTTTTCAGGGACTGTGGTTTAGATGACTTCCTCAGTTGGCATGCTCCAAAAAAGTTATCTGGTCTGGCCGCGAAAACGAGATCGAAAAGTTTTCTAAAGAAACCAAGTGAGAGGAAGTATGAAGAAAACAGGAATAAAGTAAAAACAAAGTAAAAGGAAGTGGAACGGTACATTCATGGGAGATAACAGAGGTAGGGGGAACCTTATCAAATAAAGTGATATCATAGAATCAGGGAGAAAAGAAGGAGGAAGTGAAGTTATAGGATGGATCGTGGGAATGGAAATATTAATGTTATTAGTGCGGAGTATGGTAACTATAAGATACGTCTAACGTAGAAACATAAGGTTGATTCGGGTTCAAAATGATACCGAAAGTGCAGAAGATCTGATGTGGGATTGTCTGTGCTGGGTTATGCGGAATTAGTTGGTTATATCAACCTGGTCCGTATCCCAACTGGATAGGCGCAAACCGTGCGTCGGTATGTGGCTGGTCAAATTCTTCTTGAATCTGTCGATAGGCAGGGCGGTTGCAGACATGGCAAGTGATTTGTTCCAGTGGCCGCAAACTAGCGCGGGGGAAGAGTGGGACGCACTGAGGATAATGCTTCTTCAAAGCAGAATTAGCCAAGTGGAAATTCCCCCAGTTTCTCCATCTCCTTTTAAATGAGGGCTTTTTATTGAGAGAGTAAACAACCGAACTTTTCATGGATTCTTTTGCCGTGCTATAAAACTGAACCTTGGGCTCTCAGTTTTTCTCAAATTTTGAACTTTAAGCACCGTGTTTTCAAAGTAACCAGCAGCGATTTTTGGGTTCTAATACCGTGCCACTGTAAAGCGTTCTGTTTGGGATGGCTTCGGTTATTTTCACAGTCAAGATAAACCTGAAAAGACAAAGATATGTTATTTTAACCAGTCCTTTTCTGGCGGTGTTACTCTCCATCGTCTGTAGGACGAAGTGAATCTTTTCATTTCAACCCACTAGTATTGTAGGACTTCAAATTGGCATATAGCCTTCTCGAAACCATCAGAGGTGGGAGAAACGGCGTTGGGTTGTAGCAAATGCAGGGGGAGAATTCCACAGTTTGGAGATCCCATGTTCAAATAAGTTGGTATGGACCTCTCAAAGTACATCCGCATTCTCAACACTCAAATGATGATTCATAGGGTGAGGTGAGGATTGATTGGCATGTAGTTGATTATAAGCAATATGATACACTAGTACCATATCTCCTGTGTTCCGCCCATGCCGTGGCAGTTGCAGCTTAGGAGAAACTGGACGATCCAGGTGAGGCCTTTGCCTTAATCCAGTCACCTTCCTTGCAGTTTTCCCCTGTGCCTGTTTCAAAGTAGAATCGTCCTTGTCTAAGAAGGTACTATAAGCAGCCCTCAAAGTGCTGGTAAACATGTTATCCATGCGCTGCTGTGAATAAACCCGAAATTAAATCCCCTCAAGTTGAAGAAACGAACCCCGTGAAACCATGTGAAAACGCCGAAAACAGACTCGAAGTGAGTCACCAAGGTTATCCGCAGATCTGCTTCCATTTTAAGTAACGGTTATTCCATCCAGACGGTGAAATTTCGAATTTAAAAGTGCTCTTCCCAGGTTTTTACCTTTGCCTCTTTGCACTGAGCCGAAATAAATTCTCATCCGTTCACTTTAGGATATTAAATAGATCCTCCTGGAAGACAGGCATTTGTCAGCTGCCCTACTGCCATACATATCTTGAGAGAATTAGGACTTGTCAGTGATTAAGAGTTCAGGGCTGTACGTTGGTCATTTGTAGGAGTGAAAAATACGAGTTAACTAGTAATCAAACCTTTAGACACCCCGCCAAAATTTGGGGGCCAGTTAGACGGGGGAACGCAGCTTCGGGTGGCCGTAGCCAACCTCCAAGATAACCCTAAAAACAAATCAGCGACGTTCCATTTGTTCCCATTGGTTGAAGTTTCATATGCAGTCGATTATGCCCAGCCCTGTGCAGTACTTTGGAGGAGCCAGTTAGCCCTTCATGAATAGGCTTCTTGTGCTCATCAGAGAGATCCCAGCCATTCTACTATGCCAACAAGCTGGTATTCCATGAGCTTCCAGGTTGAATGCTCGTTGAGAGTCATTTATGACCGAGTTCCTCGGTTATTAGAGGTAAACTGACTCGCCTTCCATTCCTTCGATAACCTTTGAAAATAAGCAGATTGTGAAAATGGGAATATAGTTGGAAGCTATAGTTTCAATGCCACTTTTATATGCCGAAACGAATGTGACTCTTTTTCAACTGTTAACTGCACACAAGATCGAACTTGTAGCAACACTAAGATAGGAAACCAGCTCTAAAATTTTTGGTCGATCTGTTTTGTGATGATGAAAGTAACCCATCGTCCTCCATGTACAGTATCAGGCCCTGGCCATAGTTTTATTCACTTTTAGGCCGCTAGGTGTTGATGGATTCTCACATCAGACAAAAAGCTTCTTTGGACTGAGAGAACCCGAACATCCATGTGGGTCATATGCGTTAAGTTCATCGAACACACAACCCTAGGAGGACTAACCAGGGGCAGTGCCTTTGGGTTCAGCTAGGTTCTGTGATCTTTCAAACGTTCGCAAGCGACACAGTAATGCATAGCTTGAGTACATAACCAAACATCTGTAACCTAAAACTGGCATTTGCAGAGCTAGTGAACCACTTTAAGTAAACAGTTGTCACAAATTTAGTATTGTGACTTCTGCCAACAATCTGTAATATCTAGGAAAAGCGAAATGAAACTCGAATTAGCGGTGGGATAACCAGTTAAATTCATGCCGAATGGGAAAGTTATTTTTCCCTTGTGGTGAGCCACAGTCTACGAAATCACACTAAAAACAGCCATTAGTGAATATTTTGCGGAAATTCAAGACATATTTCTTTGTGGACTTTGAATCTGTGTTACAAGTCTCATCTAATCTTCCTTGACAGCGCTAACGGCAATATTTTGAACACAACAGATTTGTCTCACCGTCTGCCAGCCTGGTGATAAGTCTCATATTAGGAGTTCATTGGAAATTCAGTCCAAGTTTGTTGAACTAACAGTGATCTTGAGTTTGTCAGCTATATCGGTAGCGTTACTTGATCTTGGTCACGAGCAGTTCACTGATCGTGAAAACACTGTGTGACTGAACTTCTTCCAGCGCCTTGGATGAATAAACGGGGATAGATGAGTATGAAATCGTAAGACTGTCTGTCTCCATCAAGCCAAACCAACAGCTGCTAACTTGATGTGACGGTCAGGTTATCATATGTAAATGATATGGCAAAATGTACTGTCAGGAAAGTGATTTGTCCCCTGTAACCAACCTGCGTTGAAGTTTTAGCTGCGAACTAATTTCTAAACTTTCAGGTGTGGTTGCAGTACTGGGAGGCTTCAACGCATGGGGAGGAGAGCTGTTTAAAAGCGTGGGCACCTGAAATTATAATGACGTTAATTTTTATGATGATCACATCGAACTTAGCCCTCAAATATTTTAAGACAATCTCGACAACTGAGGTGTGAATGTTTACAATGAAAACGCAAAGTACCTTCAGGATTCTAAGTGGACCAGTAGATAAATGCGGTTGTATGCAGCAGCAGCGTCTAGATACCCATTATTTTTGTCAGGTACAAACTTCACAAGAGACATCGCCTTACAGCGTTCATCAACCTTATCCAACAACAAACACCAACAGATTATATCGCTGTAAATTGTCGCTGAAAAAGGTTTGTGGAAGGGTACTATTGTCTCCGAAGCTGGTACTTAAACAGTGGTCAGGTGGTCACTAGAAGTGAAGGATATAATAGGCTTCAGTTAGTCAGATAACATTGCCTCCGAAGGATCACCCACATGTGCAACGTAGCAGTTAAGTGTGGAGTTATTCAAAAAAGAGTCAATTCAGTTGGTGAACTTGTACACCTTCATTAACCAAGATGAGAGGGATGTGTTAGGCATACCCAGTTACCATTTACCACAACGTAGAATTTTAAGTGAAACAACATGGCGAAAGTTTAAGGATGGCCGAACTAAAACTTAGCGTCAGCTCACAAAGTTTCTGCTGTTGTTCCGAGACATGTTGAGAAATATCAGATTCCGTGTTGATGTCGGTTAGCCCAACAGGGGTGATAGTCTGAAAATCCAGGTGATGTGAAAAAAACTGAATGTAGTTGGAAGGATTTGCTAACCTTTTATCTACGCCCCGACCCCTAAATTACATTTCACAAATCTCGCCGTTCCATCCCATCGTTTTCTACAACTTCCGATAATATCTCAGTAGGCTGGATTTTTGCGCTGTCGATTAACTACAAACTCTCTGATTTAGTGGACTCAGTTGGGAAAACCTCAGCGACTGATGTGCAGCCAGCTGCTTTTCAAGTACTCATGTCTCAACCGCGTCGCTTAACGGATCTCTTGCCGGACCTAAAATAAATTGTGGCTGGGCTCCCTAACTCCCGCCTAATTTGAACTAATGAAGAACATGCACCGTCAGATGAGAGAAGACACAGAACCGTAGATGTATCCAGAACTACACACTGTTCTCACTGCTTCTAAATCTCAGCTGACCATAACCGTTTCTGCTTGGCCTCCACTAGTCACGACAAACAACTTCTTTAATGGTGACTTACATGATGAGCTAATTTGCCTCCATGATTTCCACAGGCCACCATAGAGAATTCATTCTACCGTTCTTCTTTTTACTACCGTACGTCGTGGTACATCAATTTTAAGTATAGCTGCACGGCGTATTATACAGT